TGCCTACACCTTACAAACTAAGGAGAGTGCTATTAAATGTGTAAATGTGAGAGTGCTATTGATAGCGTCTGCTGTCATGGGTCTGTCTCAGTGACAGACTGAGGCTGCTGTTTTCTTCTCTGATCAAAACAGTGTCCCCTTGCGGATACTCAATGAATTGCACCTGATTAAAAATATTAATTCTGTGTCTTTAATGCATTTTTTTCACTTTTACATTATCCTGTGGGCCTGATTGAACCTACTTGCGGGCCGGTTCCGGCCCGCGGGCCGTATGTTTGACACCCCTGCTTTACATAATCATCTCGCGGGCCGGATTAAACTCCTTTGCGGGCCGGATCCGGCCCGCGGGCCGTATGTTTGACACCGCTGGGTTAAAAAGACGTCGCCGTGTGGTCACGTCGCCCTCTTGTGGCCACCCGTTCGTCCGCGCACTCCCCGTCCCGCTGACCGGCATCCATCAGCATTTGTCCGCATTTCAACGGCATCCATCTTGACTGTAGTCTGCAGTTTACGATTGAGTACGCTAGATGGCAGTGTTGTAGCAGTGTACAAAAGAGAGCAGCTTTCTCAGACTTGGTGTGCTGTTTGCCTTCATGAGGGTCGCGGGTCAGCCTCTCCGTAGAATGACTAACACTATTATGATGAGCGAGGCTAGAACAGATTATTGATAATTCCATTCAATCTAAACGGAAAAAGGGTATTTCAACCTTTCAGGGAAAGCGGTTACTACAGTGGACATCTTATCATGTTATCAGGTTACAGGGTACATGGAAGGGTTAAAAGACTTTTTTTTTTCTCAAGAGTGGGGTCATGGAACGAATTCAACTTGTATCTCAAGGCACCGCTGCAATTTTTTTTCCCCCCTGGCCTGCTGCTTTGAGCTCACTCTGTCCTCTTCCTCTTCTGCGGTTGTTGAAATCCATAATCGAAATTGTATCTCGGCTCAGTTAAACTCAGGCGGGCACTCTTCAATATTTAATCAGGAGTGCATTTGTTTGAAGAGCGTTCGCTGAGTTGTGTGTGTATGCGTGTGATAAAAGAAGTCGTCTGACCATGTGTGTGTGTGCAGATGCTGTGTTTGTATGCAGGACACTGGCTTGGAGGAGAAAAAAAATGATGGAACGGCATACATACCGTATTTGTGGGGGTACGTGTGTGCAGTGACAGTTTGGGGATGAAAGACTTGACCAACTCCTCTGGAAATCGCTTCATTCTCGCTCCCAGCTTCTCTCAAACTCCTTATGTTCTCCATCCCCTCCTTCCCCTTCCTACGATAATCCCTCTTCTTCGGTGCATCCTGTACGTCTTATGCTAGATCATCTATTCAACATGCATGGAGGTGGAGGTTGGTAGTTCGATCCCCGGCCATTGTAACCATATCGAAGTGTCCTTGAGCAAGATGCTGAGCCCTCCCCTCCTGGTGCTGCGTCACCAGGAGGTGAATGAGGTAACAGCATGAAGGGCTTTGAGCACCCGAGGCAGAAAAGCACGATGCAAGTGACAGCCCAGCCCATGCCATATTATCATGTTTAGTTTTTTTTTTGCTGCGTGTGCATCTGGGGCTCTTTGCGCACAAGTACCAGTGGCAGTTTTTTTTTTTTTTGGAATGCACCCAAACATACAAACCTAAGATAAATAACGACAATGGATGGCACCCGTTGGCATCTATGGTGTTGGCCCAATCTGACTCTCTACAGAGGGCTAATTATCCCAGATTAAGAGAACCGATCAGAAAAGTTGATCCGACAGCTGAGTTATACAAGCGCACTGGAGATGAACTCTGCACAGCTTGTCATGTCATCCGCAGGGGGCAAGTTCAGCTTCCTTCAGAAATCTCTTTCAAGCCACGCTCGTTTGAAATCTTCAATTAAATGTTTGGTATATTCACCCCGTTCTGCAGCACGGCCCCAAAGCAAGTGTCATCTTCAGCAAGGAAGGGAGGCGTGTCTTTAGTTTCAGAGATTCCATTTGTTCTCCTTCACGACTCTGACCCCGACTCAGATTTTGTTTTCTCTGGTTCCCCCCCCCCGCCCTCCTTGTCCTTCAACCGCTATGGCGGCAAGTTGATGCAGAACCAGTTCTGTTTTAACGGCACCTTGAATGCCTGCTTCTGGTACAAAATCTGGGATAGCATGCAAACTCTACGCGGGACATCAGAACTGTAAGGAACACACACGCACCGCTACTTCACTGACCTCTTTAATGGTGATAAAACAAAAAAAGGCACAATACGTCACCTTTAAAAGATGTGGAGCCACGACGTCTGAACTACACCAAACAGTCCTCTCGTGTTTCAACGCACCTGCCGTCTGCTTCAGGTTAAACTGGAATGCATAGCAGAACCCCCAATCATGCACACACACCGAAGACGAGCTTTGTTTATCTCTGGAAAAGTGAGTCAAATCAGTACTTCTACTTTTGCCATTTTTTTTTAAAATTACACAAAGGCAAGCAAAAGTAGAAGTACTGATTTGACTTATTTTCTGCAGTAAAAGTTAAAAAGTACAGACCGAGAGGTACTTAACCGTTTCAGGGACAGCGGTGACTCCAGTGGACAGCTTATCATGTTATCAGGGTGCACGAAAGGGTTAAATGTAAAAGAAAATATGCATTTTTACTGTCAGTTATGTACAATACCTGTTTTGGTAGCTTGACACAATGAAAACAAGCCAAGAACCAGCTATCTTTGCCTTTGCTTATGATGTCAACTGACACACTGAAAATGTAACTAATGATACCAACTGAAAAAAAAAATGCTTTACGTGTTTGTAGTTTTTTATTTTTTTTACATATTATTTGGATGATTTTTGAATGCCAGAGGCTTGCGGTTTTTAGGTTGGCACAAAACAACACGTTAGCCACAAATCATTCTTGGAGGTGACAACATTAATGATGATGCAACTGCAGATAAAAGCAGCAGGATGAATTCTGAAGTGTGTCGGGCAATATTATCTCCATATCTGTGTGTGTGTGTGTGTGTGTGTGTGTGTGTGTGTGTGTGTGTGTGATGGAGTATAACGGAGGTAAACGCTGAACCTAGTTGACAACTAACTTGCTCTGGCCGACCTTACTGATGAACGCACTTGATTTCCCAGGTCAAGTGTCACATTTTATTTCCTGTCTGTCAGTCAGGCCAAATTGCGCAGTGAGCATGATTAATACATTCATGGTTTTACAGCAGGTTTGGAGCACAGCACACTTTGGATTAGTCCACCGTGGAATGCAATCCATGGGTCCAAATCTGTTTTCTCCTGGAAGCTTCTAGGAGAGGGTTAGCCCTTCTTAGAGGGGTTGAGCAAATTTTTATTATAGGGTCAAAATGATTTCAGACAAAGTGATTGCCAAAGCTGTGTCATAGATACATTTAATTTCATAAGCCTGCCCTTGGAGGTAGCAGCCAATCATATTGCAGCGGGGCATGGACTGCCTAATAGGAAATAACGCCTCATGGGAATATATTCTTGATTCGCTGCTAATATTACTGCCGTACTGGAAATCCAAGAGAGGAGCTGCCTCTCCAGTACAGTCCTGGCGTGCACACCGAAAAACAATCAATCAAAACCTTTATTTAAAACATAAAAGATCTTTTTCAAGGGTGACATAAAAGAACATCAAAGAAAACATCTTAGGAGACATAAAAAAACACATTAGAAAGCGAAAATGACTTTCCATCGCCAAGCATCCGCCCCAAACGGAAAGAAATCCTGAACAAAATGTACAACATGCAAGAACGACAAAACCACAGCAGTCTCGTCACAAAAAGATTCACAAAAACAAAGTGCACACCGAAAAACAATCAATCAAAACCTTTATTTAAAACATAAAAGATCTTTTTCAAGGGTGACATAAAAGAACATCAAAGAAAACATCTTAGGAGACATAAAAAAACACATTAGAAAGCGAAAATGACTTTCCATCGCCAAGCATCCGCCCCAAACGGAAAGAAATCCTGAACAAAATGTACAACATGCAAGAACGACAAAACCACAGCAGTCTCGTCACAAAAAGATTCACAAAAACAATCTGCACTTATTCATTGCCCCCCCCCCGCCCCAAAAAAATAAGTCCATCAAATGCTATTAATGCAGAGAGGTAAATTTCATCCAAATGAATAGTGAACGCGACCCCCCCCCCCCCCCCCCCCAATACCAATCCACCGCACGCCTTTCTGAATTTATCGGCTGCCCTGAAAGGACAATTTTTGAAAATGAGGAAACCCGAGGCGAAAACAAACGAATCCCTTTTTAAAACCTGTTTAAAAAAACACTATGATGGATTATTTTGCCAAATTTGTCTCATATGTTCATCCTGCAGGTCATTTCCGATTTGTTTTTTTTTGTTTTTTTAATCCAATATGTCATGTATGTAATTTTTGTACCGAGACTTACACACACAAGACCATATTTACTTTATAAACACTGCTGCAAGGTGGCGTCTTGTTTTGTGCACGTGCCACTTCACAGATACATTCCATTCACGTTAGAAGTCACATTTGTTTTCATAATGTGAATGACACAGACTGGTGTTGAACACTGGTTAGTTGTCCAGTTTTTTTGCAGGCGTAATCACAACATCCTGTTTTGCTGAGGAAAAAGCCATAAAATTTTCAGTGACAGGATTTTCAGGGCATCCCTAGTCAACATTTATCTGAAGACTGTTCCGCCAAATCAGAAATCTAACTGCAGCTGTGTGTGACTTGTGACTGAGGTGTCCAAAAAAAAAAAAAAAGTCTGAAAATTTGTCAACATTATTTTGTAACAGAATATTGTCTACATTTCTGATATTTATTGTGTTGTTATTTTACACCGCTACAGTAATTCTTCATCATAATCACAATTATTGATGTGTGTGTAGGTACTGTAAAAAAAAAAAAGCTCAGCGCTGTCAACTTTTTTGCCTGTCGCTCGAGCGACAGTACGATTTCAAATGTTTTGGAATCACAGTTTTAAAAAAATATATGTATGGTTTTTATTACTGATATGGGTAATCCTAATGGGTTTTAGCTTCGGATGGAGTATAACGGAGGTAAACGCTGAACCTAGTTGACAACTAACTTGCTCTGGCCGACCTTACTGATGAACGCACTTGATTTCCCAGGTCAAGTGTCACATTTTATTTCCTGTCTGTCAGTCAGGCCAAATTGCGCAGTGAGCATGATTAATACATTCATGGTTTTACAGCAGGTTTGGAGCACAGCACACTTTGGATTAGTCCACCGTGGAATGCAATCCATGGGTCCAAATCTGTTTTCTCCTGGAAGCTTCTAGGAGAGGGTTAGCCCTTCTTAGAGGGGTTGAGCAAATTTTTATTATAGGGTCAAAATGATTTCAGACAAAGTGATTGCCAAAGCTGTGTTTTTTTTTTTTGTTTTGTTTTTGGGTTTTTTTGCACTCAAGCTCACCAATCAGAAGTGTCCTGCTACTTGTTGACAGGTCATGCTAACTAATCAGCTAAAAATAAATAATAGGGTTTTTTGTTGTTGTTTGTCTTTTTTTGTTTTTTTTGCGCTCAAGCTCACCAATCAGAAGTGTCCTGCTACTTGTTGACAGGTCATGCTAACTAATCAGCTAAAAATAAATAATAATAATAATAATCCTCTCGTCTAGAGCTTAATTTGAAGCAAAGCGTGAATTGCCTCGAAATCACAATATCTGACAGAGCCTCTCGTCTAGAACTTAATTTGAAGCAAAGCGTGAATTGCCTCGAAAATCACAATATCTGACAGAGAAATTGAAAGATCTCTCACAATCACGCGCACGCCTAGTCACGCCGCTTGCTAAGATGAGGTGCGCCGTGCTGCGGAACAAGTGAAGTCGCTCGACGCGCGCGCGACCCTTTTCGTTGCAGGTGCGCGGCGCTACCCCGCGACAGCCGTCAAAGCAGCGCGGAGGAGAACCGAGAAAGGGGGACCGAAGAACGCCGCGGCGAGGGAAATGGCGAACTGGCGCCTGCGACGACGCGCCTGTTGAGGAGGGAGCCGCTCGAGGACACGCGCCTCGCGTCCGGACGGCCGTCATGGACGACTCGGAGCCCGCAGACGACGGCCTGCTCTCGGGCTTGAGGTGGAACCGGAGCCCGCGGGACCAAGCTCAGCTCAAGCACAAAATCCGGGACCTGCCGGGACTACTTAAACACGGGCTGCACCTGCGGAAGAAGAGCGTGAGTATCTCGCTGTAGTCGATCTCCTTCCGCGTTTGATGCTGCTCGTTAAAAAAAAAAAAAAAACTAAACAAAACAAACAAACTGGAGTGTTTTAAAAGCAATGCTGGCGCTGCTTTTGTACACACGTCACGACTTGTCCCGAACGTGAACGTTGCAGGGGCACTGTGCGTGCTTGCGCCTTCGTCCCTAATTACCCGAATTGCTGCTAAAACACCATACCTTCACACTCCGGTAGTCAAGGCAACCACCCTCAGGTTAACCTGCACACACACACGGTTGTGCTAATGGTCATGTGTGTGTAGCACATGTAACGTAGATTCAATTAGACTGTCAATGAATTCATCGTCGCCTCAGTGTGAAAAACAAAACCAAACCAAACTAAACATCCCATCCATCATTCGCAGCCCACACGTGAGAGTTAAATTGACATGAAGAAATCATCACTGAGGATCATAAATCTTGCTCGGGCGGATTATTCCGGTATTTCGAAGTGGTCTCGCTCTCTTGGCCCTGTTGACCTAAGAGGTGATGTACAGAAATGGTATACAGTACTGAAGTGGTCGCCATCATTATTCACAACTAATGGATTTGCGGTTGTTTCTGAATTTATCGGCTGCCCTGAAAGGACAATTTTTGAAAATGAGGAAACCCGAGGCGAAAACAAACGAATCCCTTTTTAAAACCTGTTTAAAAAAAACACTATGATGGATTATTTTGCCAAATTTGTCTCATATGTTCATCCTGCAGGTCATTTCCGATTTGTTTTTTTTTGTTTTTTTAATCCAATATGTCATGTATGTAATTTTTGTACCGAGACTTACACACACAAGACCATATTTACTTTATAAACACTGCTGCAAGGTGGCGTCTTGTTTTGTGCACGTGCCACTTCACAGATACATTCCATTCACGTTAGAAGTCACATTTGTTTTCATAATGTGAATGACACAGACTGGTGTTGAACACTGGTTAGTTGTCCAGTTTTTTTGCAGGCGTAATCACAACATCCTGTTTTGCTGAGGAAAAAGCCATAAAATTTTCAGTGACAGGATTTTCAGGGCATCCCTAGTCAACATTTATCTGAAGACTGTTCCGCCAAATCAGAAATCTAACTGCAGCTGTGTGTGACTTGTGACTGAGGTGTCCAAAAAAAAAAAAAAAAGTCTGAAAATTTGTCAACATTATTTTGTAACAGAATATTGTCTACATTTCTGATATTTATTGTGTTGTTATTTTACACCGCTACAGTAATTCTTCATCATAATCACAATTATTGATGTGTGTGTAGGTACTGTAAAATTTTAAATCTGCGTGCTGAGCTGTCAACTTTTTCCCTGTCGCTCGAGCGACTGTACGATTTCAAATGTTTTGGAATCACAGTTTTCAAAAAATATATGTATGGTTTTTATAACTGATATGGGTAATCCTAATGGGTTTTAGCTTCGGATGGAGTATAACGGAGGTAAACGCTGAACCTAGTTGACAACTAACTTGCTCTGGCCGACCTTACTGATGAACGCACTTGATTTCCCAGGTCAAGTGTCACATTTTATTTCCTGTCTGTCAGTCAGGCCAAATTGCGCAGTGAGCATGATTAATACATTCATGGTTTTACAGCAGGTTTGGAGCACAGCACACTTTGGATTAGTCCACCGTGGAATGCAATCCATGGGTCCAAATCTGTTTTCTCCTGGAAGCTTCTAGGAGAGGGTTAGCCCTTCTTAGAGGGGTTGAGCAAATTTTTATTATAGGGTCAAAATGATTTCAGACAAAGTGATTGCCAAAGCTGTGTTTTTTTTTTTTGTTTTGTTTTTGGGTTTTTTTGCACTCAAGCTCACCAATCAGAAGTGTCCTGCTACTTGTTGACAGGTCATGCTAACTAATCAGCTAAAAATAAATAATAATAATCCTCTCGTCTAGAACTTAATTTGAAGCAAAGCGTGAATTGCCTCGAAAATCACAATATCTGACAGAGAAATTGAAAGATCTCTTCCTAAAATTCTTCAGGCTTACTTCTTCATACTACTGGTTAAAAAAAATTACATTTCATAAATATATATGAAATATAAATAAAGGCCAAAGCAACAACAGCTGCAATAAAATAGGCAACAGCGGAGGGTTAGTTTGTGATGAGAGCATATCACGAATTGGAGGATCAAGGAATCTTCACGCCACACCTTTTGCGCTGACTCGTTATGGGGCTTCTCGCAAGAAAACATTTGCACTCGTGTTATAAATGTACCGTGTCGTCAAAAAGTCTTTCGGAGTGATTACGGCTCATGAAATACAGTGACGTGAAGAAGCATTAAATCCCCGGGGTGTTAAACATGTCAGCCATGGATGCGAGCATTTCTCAGAGCCACCTGCTCGGCGCCAAGTGTGCGCGTTCGCAAGCATGCGGGGGGGGAAAGTTCAAACTTGGAGATGTCTTTCATGTTAACCCACGAGGAAGCTTCCTCGGATGAAGGTTTTGATGAAAGGAAAGTCACACTGCGCACCAAGTGAAACTGCTCATTTGCGGAGGTGGGAGGAAGTCACGTATGTGCAAATTGGATCCATTTTCATCCGCCTATGCAATGTCAGATTGCGGGGGGCAGCACATTAAGCTTGGAAGCCCAAATGTTCCTCTCCCCAGCCGCTTCATCCAGCTTGTCTGGGGTAAGCCTGAGGGAGTGTTTTAAAAGCAATGCTGGCGCTGCTTTTGTACACACGTCACGACTTGTCCCGAACGTGAACGTTGCAGGGGCACTGTGCGTGCTTGCGCCTTCGTCCCTAATTACCCGAATTGCTGCTAAAACACCATACCTTCACACTCCGGTAGTCAAGGCAACCACCCTCAGGTTAACCTGCACACACACACGGTTGTGCTAATGGTCATGTGTGTGTAGCACATGTAACGTAGATTCAATTAGACTGTCAATGAATTCATCGTCGCCTCAGTGTGAAAAACAAAACCAAACCAAACTAAACATCCCATCCATCATTCGCAGCCCACACGTGAGAGTTAAATTGACATGAAGAAATCATCACTGAGGATCATAAATCTTGCTCGGGCGGATTATTCCGGTATTTCGAAGTGGTCTCGCTCTCTTGGCCCTGTTGACCTAAGAGGTGATGTACAGAAATGGTATACAGTACTGAAGTGGTCGCCATCATTATTCACAACTAATGGATTTGCGGTTGTTTCTGAATTTATCGGCTGCCCTGAAAGGACAATTTTTGAAAATGAGGAAACCCGAGGCGAAAACAAACGAATCCCTTTTTAAAACCTGTTTAAAAAAACACTATGATGGATTATTTTGCCAAATTTGTCTCATATGTTCATCCTGCAGGTCATTTCCGATTTGTTTTTTTTTGTTTTTTTAATCCAATATGTCATGTATGTAATTTTTGTACCGAGACTTACACACACAAGACCATATTTACTTTATAAACACTGCTGCAAGGTGGCGTCTTGTTTTGTGCACGTGCCACTTCACAGATACATTCCATTCACGTTAGAAGTCACATTTGTTTTCATAATGTGAATGACACAGACTGGTGTTGAACACTGGTTAGTTGTCCAGTTTTTTTGCAGGCGTAATCACAACATCCTGTTTTGCTGAGGAAAAAGCCATAAAATTTTCAGTGACAGGATTTTCAGGGCATCCCTAGTCAACATTTATCTGAAGACTGTTCCGCCAAATCAGAAATCTAACTGCAGCTGTGTGTGACTTGTGACTGAGGTGTCCAAAAAAAAAAAAAAAAGTCTGAAAATTTGTCAACATTATTTTGTAACAGAATATTGTCTACATTTCTGATATTTATTGTGTTGTTATTTTACACCGCTACAGTAATTCTTCATCATAATCACAATTATTGATGTGTGTGTAGGTACTGTAAAATTTTAAATCTGCGTGCTGAGCTGTCAACTTTTTCCCTGTCGCTCGAGCGACAGTACGATTTCAAATGTTTTGGAATCACAGTTTTAAAAAAATATATGTATGGTTTTTATTACTGATATGGGTAATCCTAATGGGTTTTAGCTTCGGATGGAGTATAACGGAGGTAAACGCTGAACCTAGTTGACAACTAACTTGCTCTGGCCGACCTTACTGATGAACGCACTTGATTTCCCAGGTCAAGTGTCACATTTTATTTCCTGTCTGTCAGTCAGGCCAAATTGCGCAGTGAGCATGATTAATACATTCATGGTTTTACAGCAGGTTTGGAGCACAGCACACTTTGGATTAGTCCACCGTGGAATGCAATCCATGGGTCCAAATCTGTTTTCTCCTGGAAGCTTCTAGGAGAGGGTTAGCCCTTCTTAGAGGGGTTGAGCAAATTTTTATTATAGGGTCAAAATGATTTCAGACAAAGTGATTGCCAAAGCTGTGTTTTTTTTTTTTGTTTTGTTTTTGGGTTTTTTTGCGCTCAAGCTCACCAATCAGAAGTGTCCTGCTACTTGTTGACAGGTCATGCTAACTAATCAGCTAAAAATAAATAATAATAATCCTCTCGTCTAGAACTTAATTTGAAGCAAAGCGTGAATTGCCTCGAAATCACAATATCTGACAGAGAAATTGAAAGATCTCTTCCTAAAATTCTTCAGGCTTACTTCTTCATACTACTGGTTAAAAAAAATTACATTTCATAAATATATATGAAATATAAATAAAGGCCAAAGCAACAACAGCTGCAATAAAATAGGCAACAGCGGAGGGTTAGTTTGTGATGAGAGCATATCACGAATTGGAGGATCAAGGAATCTTCACGCCACACCTTTTGCGCTGACTCATTATGGGGCTTCTCGCAAGAAAACATTTGCACTCGTGTTATAAATGTACCGTGTCGTCAAAAAGTCTTTCGGAGTGATTACGGCTCATGAAATACAGTGACGTGAAGAAGCATTAAATCCCCGGGGTGTTAAACATGTCAGCCATGGATGCGAGTATTTCTCAGAGCCACCTGCTCGGCGCCAAGTGTGCGCGTTCGCAAGCATGCGGGGGGGGAAAGTT